AGGTCTAGTGGAGCCAGACGTAGTCTCAGTGGAACAACCGACGATTAGAGAGACTGAAGTTTTCGGTCTAGTAATCGGCCAGCTCCAGTTTTCGGCCGATTGGTTGGATGCAAGGTAAAATCACTCTAAAATACATCGCATAATAGCATAACACATATCCCACACATACTATACCATGCCAGTGTCACTGAAGAACCACATTTGCAATGGAAAATATATCCTAAAATATCACATTTTAGCGATGTAATCGCCGGTCCCGCTACCCAAATCTGAAAAATCGAGTATCTTACGCGTGTCTGTAAGAAATATGGGTACCATAAAATGAGCTTTATTTCAAGTATTTTTCAGATTTAAAGCCCGATTTTGTGCTGGTCGCAAGCTCAAAAGTATCTCATCGCATGTATTAAATCAATGCAGCCGCATACCGCGACGCACACACGATATCTCTGTCTAATTCAGATTCCAACTTCCGATCACCGCTGTGCCCGTCTTCGGCCAGGCGAGCACCAGGGAGCTCCGGCGTGGGGATACCTGCTCCGCCCGCTTGTGCTGTACATCAGCGCGGAAACGCACGGCGCGCGCGAGCGCTTCCCATTGACTTTGTACATGCGGCCGTAAACTGAAACGCTCGGCCGATAACGGGCTCCAAAACAGTGAAATTTGAAATGAATATTGTCATGGCAATTCGTGATTTTTTTCTGGGATTCTTTTTTTGTTTAAATAATAATAATATTTGCTTCATGATTTGAACAAGAAATGATAATAAATAGGAAGTAAAGAGTCCTAAAAATAGGATTTTGTCTTAAGTGGCCGAAAACGGGCTCCTTTACTCTAGATCTAGAGTAAACAGTAGGGGCGCTGGTCCGAGAATAAGGATCGTCTTCATAAACGAGGATCGTCTTCTTTTACACTGACCGATGCGTCCTCAAAAATAAGGTTTCGTATTTTTGATTGGCGCATTGGCGATGCAAAAACCAGATTCTGCAATGATTTTCTTGATGCAATTTACATTGACTTTGTACAGAGACCTTCACATTATGAGCAATAAATCCTTGGGAAGACGGACAACCCATAAAAGTAGACGGACAACTAGGGTTATTTTCCCCCGGGGAATCCATTTTTGGCATCGCCAGCGGGCCGTTCTGTAACATGAAACCCCCAGAGCGCCGATGAAAAAAAACGTCCTCGAAAATGCAGACGACCCTTATTTTTGAGGACACATTTTGTCTTCGTTTATGAGGATATCCTTGTTTATGAGGACGATCCTCATTCTCGGACCAGCGCCCCTACTGGTAAAGGAGCCGGTAGACTAACAGGACAGCTCCAGTTTTTGGCCGATCCATTGGATGCATGGTAAAATCCCTTTAAAATACATCGCATATAGCATATAACATATCCCACACATACCATACCATGCCAGAGTCATTGAAGAACCACATTTGCAATGGAAAATATATCCTAAAATATCACATTTTAGCGATGTAATCGGCGGTCCCGCTACCCAAATCTGAAAAATCGAGTTTCTTACGCGTGTATGTAAGAAATATGGGTACCATAAAATTAGTCCGAAAGCTTCAGTCTCTATAATCGTCGGTTGTTCCACTGAGACGACGTCTGGCTCCACTAGACCTCCGGTTATAGAGACTGAACGATCCCCTATACCATCGTAGAGTAAAGGAGCCGGTAATCGGCCAGCTCCAGTTTTCGGCCGATTGGTTGGATGCAAGGTAAAATCACTCTAAAATACATCGCATAATAGCATAACACATATCCCACACATACCATACCATGCCAGTGTCACTGAAGAACCACATTTGCAATGGAAAATATATCCTAAAATATCACATTTTAGCGATGTAATCGCCGGTCCCGCTACCCAAATCTGAAAAATCGAGTATCTTACGCGTGTCTGTAAGAAATATGGGTACCATAAAATGAGCTTTATTTCAAGTATTTTTCAGATTTAGAGCCCGATTTAGTGCTAGTCGCAAGCTCAAAAGTATCTAATCGCATGTATTAAATCAATGTAGCCGCACACCGCGACGCACACACGATATCTCTGTCTAATTCAGATTCCAACTTCCGATCACCGCTGTGCCTGTCTTCGGCCAGGCGAGCACCAGGGAGCTCCGGCGTGGGATACCTGCTCCGCCCGCTTGTGCTGTACATCAGCGCGGAAACGCACGGCGCGCGCGAGCGCTTCCTATTGACTTTGTACATGCGGCCGTAAACTGAAACGCTCGGCCGATAACTGGCTCCAAAACAGTGAAAATTGAAATGAATATTGTCATGGCAATTCGTGATTTTTTTCTGGGATTCTTTTTTTGTTTAAATAATAATAATATTTGCTTCATGATTTGAACAAGAAATGATAATAAATAGGAAGTAAAGAGTCCTAAAAATAGGATTTTGTCTTAAGTGGCCGAAAACGGGCTCCTTTACTCTATGTTGAAGATATCACGGCTAGATTTTAGCCGTTAGGCCCCTCCCACAAACATGACAAACTTGCCACGGCCGTATTGTTATGCCCCCAAAATCCCCCAAAATGTCATTTTACCTTGTGTATATCCAATTTTAAATTAGGCCTAGGCTATAATACATTGGTTCCACTTACTAACTTGATTGAAATAATCCGTTTAATGGTCCCTTTTAAGGAAATTATGGGTCAAAATCGACATCCATGTTGAAAATCTTGCAAGCCGTGTTAAACTCTCGCTGCCGTCAATCTCATCCCTTCTAGTCTACGCCGAAGGCAAAATGATTATGAAGGAAAAACTGTGCGCCATCTACACGTTCGTAATGGCGTTATCACAGGGGCGCGAGCGCTTCCTATTGACTTTGTACATGCGTCCGAAAACTGGTTCGCTATGCCGATAACCGGCTCCAAAACAGTGAAAATTGAAACGAATATTGTCATGGCAATTCGTGATTTTTTTCTGGGATTCTTTTTTTGTTTAAATAATAATAATATTTACTTCATGATTTGAACAAGAAATGATAATAAATAGGAAGTAAAGAGTCCAAAAAATAGGATTTTGTCTTAAGTGGCCGAAAACCGGGTCCTTTTGTCTATTATCATTTCTTGTTTAAATCATGAAGCAAATATTATTTAAACAAAAAAAAGAATCCTAGCGAGCCAGTTTTCGACAGCATGTACAAAGTCAATAGGAAGTGCGCGCACGTTTCCGCGCTGATGTACAGCACAAGCGGGCGGAGCAGGTATCCCCACGCCGGAGCTCCCTGGTGCTCGCCTGGCCGAAGACGGGCACAGCGGTGATCGGAAATTGGAATCTGAATTAGTCAGAGATATTGTGTGTGCGTTGCGGTGTCCGGCTGCATTGATTTAATACATGCGATGAGATACTTTTGAGCTTGCGACTCGCACAAAATCGGGCTCTAAATCTAAAAAATACTTGGAATAATGCTCATTTTATGGTACCCATATTTCTTACAGACACGCGTAAGATACTCAATTTTTCAGATTCGGGTAGCGGGACTGCCGATTACATTGCTAAAATGTGATATTTTAGGATATATTTTCCATTGCAAATGTGGTTCTTCAGTGACTCTGGCATGGTATGGTATGTGTGGGATATGTGATATGCTATTATGTGATGTGTTTTAACTCTTAAGCTGCCACCCATACAATGCAACCAGTGCCACAGTGCTAATTCCTATTGTGCCACAGTGCTAATCTCCTGCGTGCCAAGTTAATTTTAAGGTTGGTTCAAGTGCGTGTTATTTAAATCTTTACAAAAAACAAATCGCTGAATTACTCGAGAAAATCCAATCTGACTGTTGTATACAAAGACGCGTAATCCAAAGCCGATAATCTGATGCACGCGATGGTACTTTCAATAGCGCTGCAAAAGCACTCAGCACGGTGCAATGGGCATGAACAATAACTGTTATTACATCTGCGCGCTAGCGCGCACAAAGCACCGTAGCGGTGGCTCGCTAGCATGAACGTGGCTTTCAATCGATAGCACGCACATGGCACTATAACAATAGCGCGCTAGCAGTCTCATGGCAGGATAAGAGTTAAAGGGATTTTACCATGCATCCAATGGATCGGCCGAAAACTGGAGATGGTCGATTACCCCCACCTTTACTCTACATTAATTTTTCACGGAATTTGCCCTAAGATCGGCAAGCGGAATTTTAGAATTTGTGAATATTTTTATTCGGGTCACTCAGTGCGAAAAATTAATCACGCGAAAATAACAGCATTTACAGTAAAAGCTTGGAGAATAAATTGATAATAAAAATCTACAAAAAAAGTGATAAAAGAAGTTGCTAGAATATTCTTTAGTCTATATTATCACTAAAATATGAAAAATAAAAGTAAGATTCGAAGTTATCACTGATACAAAGATGTCTTATGATCAACAAAAATCGCAATCAAAGTTTCAAGTGTTTAAAATAATCACAGATGGATTATTATAGTATTCAAGTCACCAATATCAGAATCATTGTCGACATGTTGTTTTCCTAAATTTGATTTTTGTTGAAAAAATGTTGACAGCACTAGAAAGTGCCCATCATTTGTGGTATGTTTTTGGAATTTTTGTCTTCTTTGCTTTCTTTGACCTGGAAAGAAAACTTACAGAGGCAGCAAAATGATTGATATATTAAGGGACATAATCCTTGAATTTTGTTGTTGGCCTTTATATCTTCATCAGTCCCACCGCGGAACGAATGCCCTTCATCAAGACATTCATTTACATTTGCCACTTTCCACTTGGTTGTCAAATAGGTACCAGGTAGGATGCGAACGATAGGATTGGCATGAGTGTGATTGTAAAATGGCAGGGAGTGGAACATGTGCACTATCATTTGCAGATTAGAAATTGAATCCAATGACCGGGGTAATAATAATTGCAATGCAAAGTGCTAAGAAACGTAACTAATATGGCCATTATTATATTATTATTATCAATATTATCTTTAACTTTGAATAGTTGTGTAAACTTTTGATTTCACTATGATCTCCTTTTCAGTTCTGAGAGCAACAGGGTTATTGGTGCTAAGGATCATGCATCAATCCAGATCAATGTAGGAGAGGTAAGTACAGGGCCCCCCCCCCCTTTCAAATTAAAAAAAAAAAACACCCTACTATAAATGAATCTATTTCACATTTTCATTCCACATTCATTTCTTTTGGGAGATTTTATGTTTTGTGATCCCATGTGGTCTCCAACCAATTCAAGCCTTTTATTGTTATCATTATTATTCTTATTAGTAGTAGTGTTTATGTTTATGTTAGTAGCACTCTGCTCTTAACCCTAAACAGGGCAGATTATTGAGGCCCCCACTCAGGCATTTTATAAACTTGGTGTCTACAGATGTGTTTGAATTGGGGCTTTAAAGTTCTGAAAGCAAGAGATAAGAAGAAAAAATCCACAAAGTTATCTCTGAAAACACTCTTGGCAGATCTGGATTTAATTTGTGTATAGTCTGCTTGAAGGGGCCTGTGTGAAAATGTCTAAATTTCAGTTGTCTGGACTATGAATTTGGGTCCCAGGCGCTGTTTATACTAGAGATATTTTCCTTGGCTTTTATTCTTTTCAAGTCACTCCTATCGGTTCACCTTTGACCCCTGGTTTACCTTTGACCCGTGGTTTCTCAATTGTCGTCTGGATTCTTCCATTCTCTATTTCTCTGTAGTTAGTTTACTTCTTCTTTCATTTGAATAACTGTAATTTAATTTATGTCAAACCTATGACAAGCCCTGTACATTCACAATGTAACCACACAAATTTTATTTCTTTTGACAGGTTGACCCTGTGACTGGCATCTACACACGTAGCTTCAAGACCTATGCCATCTGTGGCCCCATCCGTGGAATGGTACGTATGGTGGTGTGACCGTAGTTTGCGCATAACTTTTATTCGCGCACAGCTCCATATCTCTTTATTTAGCGTAGTGACCTGATCTTAACCTAGGTGTTCACACTTGTACAAGCATTGCCTTTTAGTGGACCCCTCTGTTTCCCACATGTATTTTTTACATTTGTTTTAAATGCTTATAATTGATTTGTAATGTTTTGTTGGAAACCTGAATAAATTGAAATTTTACCTGTTAAGCATGATTTTATTTCATAATAATCCTCGGTTTTAAACACCACAGCCAGCGTTATAGCAGGCTTTGCATGCAACAAGCCAATAGACTATTTTCAAAATGAAATTGGTACACGTTTACCTAATGATGGGTTATTATATTATATTCACCTGTTTATGTCATTGCGTCTCAATAGTCAGAATTCAAATTGCATACTCTAGTCTAGTTGGCCAATTATTATGGCTTGCCCTACCCAACAACAATTTGCAATTTAGAGTCTGAATATTGAAGTATAAATTATTTGTAACATGTGAATTTGATAATTCATAACCTGGCACTGACAGAGGCCTATGCATTGACTTTAAATACATAACCCAAAAATGGCCTATTTGGTAGATTTCAACTACATGAACAGGCATGAGGTTTCCTGTTTAAACAAAAAAAATCTTGATTAATTATAGTCCATCGGCTTAAACCCTGGCCTTTATTGATGAAACCTTCGCAGTTTCGAGAGACATGATCAATTACATTGATCAACATTGGTCAATGTCACCTGGACCCCTGTCTGTTCGATCATATTAACAAAAATATTTATAATTTGCCAGTTTTTTTCAACGAACTCCATTCACATGCCTGCAGGAAAATTATGTGTGACTTTGCCAAAAGCACAGTTCTCTACAGCCTTTTAGCAACTGCTTAAAAATCTTTGTGTCAATTTTTCTTCAAATTCGTTTGTTTGTAGGGCGAGTCGGACGACAGCATCAACAGGTTGGCCAAGAGGGACGGATACATTGCAAGGTTAGTTATGCCCTCATGAAACTATGCACACGTTAAGGGGAAGTCCACATCCTGATATTTTAATAGGAGCAGAAAGATGAGAGAAACTGGTCATTGAAAGTTTGAGCAAAATCCTGACTAAAAATAAGAAAGTTATGAATGCACATCCATAATCAGTTATACGGGGAGGAGAGACCAAGGGTTACAGTGATTCAGTTCGCTTTTTCCTTCCTAGGCACAGATGATGCCCAATACTTAATAATTGTGAGCACATGTAGGACCTTTGTTGCACTGCCACAATTTTTATGTTCATGTTCATTCGCCATTCTCGTATAAAATTAAAGTCTGCCGTGGTTTACTGCGTCATTTGTCACGAGCCTTTAAAGAAGTGGTTGGAAGGATGTCCAGCCTTACTTTTCATTATCATTAAGATACTTGTTAATACTTTTGAATATTGGGGAAATTTCTGAAATATCCAACAAATTCTTTAAATCAGTTTCATTTCTCTCTGTATTGAATTTGAATATTTTCATCTGGTTAGTTTGATAGCTTGCATTCTAATGATCATAATGTTTGTGGTTTATCACAGCGGTAGTTTATTCTATGGGATTGTTTTATACCTTCTGCATCCTGCTAAAAGCAGTTATGGGATGAAAGTTTGGTCGAGTGAAACATGCAAATGTTTGATCAAACTATGTTAATCTAATTGTGAATTTACTTGATTTCTCAAGAACAGTGCAAAAGTTTGAACTGCTAATTGAATACATCTCTATGATATCATGATTGTTAAATGATTTGGTAACGTTTTATTCTTCCTCACTGCAGCAACTTCTAAGCACTTTGTGATCGAACGCAGCGGAAGATGTCGTCTATTTTCCAACAAAGATGGCGCCATTCATAGCCGACTTGTCCAGAATCAAGATCAACGTTTCACTGTATGTAAAGGGGATAGGATTTATCACAAGATGCCTGTCAGGCCTGACTTTGTTGAGGAATAAATGATAGTCTTCTGACACAAAAAACAACGTGAATGTCTGATTTAACACTCGTCTTTTCAACTATAATTATCGTCTCCATATTGTACTATATTACAATAGGCCATTTTCGTAATGTATCCAAATTTATTGCATAGGTCTTTATTCACGACTTTTAGATGTGGATACATTACGAAAGTGGCCCATTAACATCTACACACAACACTTATTCTGAAATAACTTTCACTCAAGAGGATGCACAATACACTAAATTTGTTCATGTTCAATACTTGTTTATTGAGCGACACCTATATTTTATAGTTGGAACAGTTTTCCTCTCTGTAATAATACAGAAATCAGTCTGTACATGCAAGTACTGTACCAGTGCAAAACATTCTCTCGACACACTGAAAGCTCTACAGCAGATGCAAAATATAAAAATTGGCAAAATATAAAACTTTTGCAAAATATCAAATTTCGCAAATCAAAATCAAAATCTCAACCGATATATGCAAACTCGCTCATAAATTTTCTTTTGTTTATGTAAATACATGTATTCGCCTTTTCATGGCATTTGCAAACATAGCAATAACGGGTAGAACCTCTAAAATGTGCAAGTAATTTGGACTGTTCTGGGTGAATATCCAGTCAAACAAAATATGGCTCAAAATATGTTTTGCAATTCAAGTTTGAGCATTGATGTCTCTCTTGTCAATGTATTATCATACTTTATCATTGAAAAAGGCTGTTTATACGACTCTTCAAATAGAAACATTAAGTACACATAAAAGAATTCATGATCCACGACAAGAGTGGTTCATTCTCGTAAGCATCAAAGTGGGCATGAGATGGTATTGCATGGTGTATAGGACACCAGAAAATAAAAGGAATAAAATTTGAACATGAATAGAGAAATTGACTAGGGAAATGAGATGGCAAGTTAGTGAAGGGAGGCAATGGAGGAAAGCTGGGAACTTTGCAAAGATGACGGGAACGGATTGGATGATGAGAGATATTATAGGATGAAAAGAAATCTGTGAAGGACTCCTAAGGAGATGGTAGACAAAAGCCACAATGTATGAGTTGAGGTAGGAAAGAGGATTGACTCGAAAGGTCATTTCGTAATGTACCGTAATCAAATTGAATGCACCAATATTTGTTGAGTGCCTTGTTGCAAGTTATTTTATTCACATGTTACAAAAAATTGTATTTCAGAAGTCAGAATGGGAATTGCATACATTTCATTGACTGGCTTAACTTTCGGGAGATACCACATATATTTCCCTCGCAAGAACCATATTGCCCTCGTCTTTGACTCTGGGCAATATGAGTCTAGTTTGGGAAATATTATGTTGTATCTCCCTCAAGGCCAGTCCATATTATATAAATATTTGTTCTACCTAGCAACAATTCTCGCTACCCCAAATAGCGATTCTGCCGAGATCCGGGGAAAATCCTGGAAACGCGCATTGCATTATGGGATAGCTTTTCGACATTACAGCTTCCTGTGCAGGCGGCGCGATAGCGCAAACGTAAAACGCCGTCGCCACACAACGTGTATGCACCGAATATGTCGTCTGCTCGGTCTTGTTTTTTTTTCGCAAATATTTCAACGTTTATTTGAACATTTCATTCGTTGTTTTTTGCGTCTTTTGACATCAGTGACGATGGTTTTCTTTTGTGAGGCTGCACAGTGCTGGGCTCATGATTCCAAGCGTAAGAACCCTGAAAAATGGGGGTGGATGAAGGCCGTGACTTGGGATGGGACTCTATACCGGAAGTTGTAGTGACGACCCGAGAGAGTGAAAATTACCTCGTCTCGCGAATTTCGAGATTTTCGTACCTATTTAGGGTAGCGAGAATTAATGATGTAATTCGCAATCCGACTTGTAATGAATAATTTGTAACGAGACACTTCACAAAAATTGGTGCATTACATTTGATTATATTACAAAAATGTCGAACAAAGGTCGAACGAAAAACCATGAAGGTGCGTATAGAGACAGAGTGATCATAGGCAATGTATGCGTTGAATAAGGAAGGGTGAATAGCAATAGAGCACAGAGATGTGAAAGGAGCAGATGAAAGATGAGAGATGGATCGCCATGGAAGCGAAGGAGTGCATAAAGAAGTACATGTAGTAAACAACCACAACATACAAACTGTATATTAATACCAAGCGACTACACAATGTCATCTCTTCGTTGAGAAGCGTCATGTTGAAAGACACGTTTAAAGAGAAGGTAGAGTTCTGGGAAGAGGTGAAAAATAATTTGTGAGCGTTATCATTGTATTATGCAAGTGTGGAAGAACATCAGATACAACATGTTCCCTGAAAAGAATGGCTCTTCAAATGCCTGCCTTAGTATTCTAAATATGGCATGTAACATCATAACAATCGGGTTGGATTTTTTCGTCACATGTTTGTTTAGTCTCATATACATCTTTCCGTGTACAGTGCTTGTAACTTTACCAAGACTTTGCCAAATTTCTTAGCATTTTGATGATTCCAGAGCCTTGAAATACACATGAATACTTATATGCTAGATGTCCAATCTTTCAGATCGATTCCACAACGTTTCTTTTACAATGCAATCGCTTGACCAGAACTCGACCTTCTCCTTAAACCAGCAATTAGACATATGGGCAAGAACTTCATATGGGCCAATGAAACCTGTGACACCTCCAAACCGACACTAAACCGAACAATTCTCAGCCATTTACAGTAATTTCATTTCTAGCTCGGGCTGTCCCCGGTCTTGTGTCGGCCTCATGTTTAATAGTCTTATTGGTATGGGTAGATAATGAACAAATATAACATGGTCCTAGCATACTTCATACTTGATTAAATCTTGCACTTAGTGTAACTATAACTTGTTTTCAAAGCATCAATTAACAGTAATATTACATATTATATTGCATTTAAAAAGTCAAACCCAGGTGCCAGAACCCTTGAGTTCAACATATACACACTGAATATTCATATAGTATTTATCTTTATATAAACAGACACATTTCACAAGATATATCATTACTTTTAAGTTCTTTGTACATTACATATTTGATTTTATACATACATAAACATTGGATTATCTGGATATATATATATATATATATATATTCCTTTCTTACAAAATGGTACAAGCATGAGTGAATAATTGTATGAGATTCTTTTTAAGCCATACAGAATATTATTTCAAATTTAATTGCTGCTTAGGAGAAATGAGCCTCTGCATTTTCCTTGCCTGGGTGAAATATTTCCTGGACTAGACTGAATTACATATTATTTTCCCCAAATTGATATCCTGATTCTGCTGAAATACCTTAACAATACATCATTCAGTGAAAGATCATCTAAACTGAAAGGTGCTAAATATCTAATGATTGCAATTCAACATGGAAAATGTTGTATGGAAACACTATAATATACATCACAAAATAAATAGTTGTATGATAAGTTAACATTACTCTCAAACAAAATAAATAACTACTGTATAAATGTTGGGAGATGGTTTTCATTATAAAACAAAACTGATTATGCACCATAACAATTAGACACACATGATTCACATGAGAGTAACAAGTAAATCCCTCTCCCGCACCACATAATGAGAACCTCTTAAATTGGCAACACCATCACATATGGGCATAAATACATGTATCTTTTCACCGAGTGATTTTTTTCATCGGCAAAAAGAAAGACAAACGTTTTGAAATTGTGGCACAGGGATAAATACAATAGCATTAAAAAGAAAACAATAGATTTTTAAAAGGATATGTCAAATGAGATAAAGTAATAATAAAATAGTTTGAATATGGATCTATTGAAGCTTTGCGACTATAGAGGGCGGCATATTGTTCTATGTCACAGGCATAAATTAATCTCATGTAAGTCATTCATTAGGTAAGGCTAGCCATCAGCAAATCTCACTTTTTACTCATGAAATTACAAGCAGGAATGGCATGAAAATGAAACATATTTTAATAAAAGTTCTTTGCTCACATAGCAATAAGTACATCTTTAAGGACAACAAACTGAAGATATTACAACAAAAAATGCTTTATAGGAATATGGTATTCAGCGCTTTGTAGATGTAAATGTTGCATATTATTATGAAAACTGAACTGGAGCAAAAGAAAGTGAGAATATTTTAGTGGCAAGCAATGCAGGATATGTCGGCATCAAATGCTAAATTAGAGTCAGAAACTTGAACAGATTTTTTCGACATGGAGCTTTCATGAATTTGAACCCCTTGTTAGTTTTTACCAAGGTTTATTGTATGCAGAAGTTTTTTGGTATAACAGTGAAATACATTGAGGACTACAATAACACCTCAAGATCGGAAATTAAATGGAAAGAAAATCGGCAAAAAAATGAATGTAGCTCTACGACACGGTAACAAATAAATGTGACTTGTACGAACCACAATCTTTATCACGCTAGGATTATTTATAATACATGAAATTTCCTTAGTTTATTTTGGACCGATGGTTCATTCACCTTCAACGGACATGCACTAAATTGCGAACAGTATGAATACCGGTAGCTCTTTGTGGAACTACAATTTAGAATTCTAAGAAAACTTTAGAGCTTTTTAAAATACATTCCATACTTTGCCAACAGCAAAGTCTACTGAACCCCACAGGCTCTCCTACTCCCGACACAGCCACAAGCTGGCAGAGTTAGGATCAGCTCATGACTTTACAGATTTGTATTTAACTTGGTGACAAATTAAGAGTGTATGCGTCTGCAGTCGTACCCCACCCCACCCCTCCCAACCCCTGCATCACTTTCCTTCACGGAAAAAATACTTTATAAATTTTGGGGGCTACTTTTAAAGCTTGCTTGAAATTAAAAAACACTTTTTAATTTGTTTTGCATTGAACTCCATGCAAATTTTTTAGGGCTTTTTTTATGACGTTCGGGGACTTTTTTTTGCATTTTGGGGGCTAATTTGCCCGAGCCCCCCGAGTATTTTTTTCACTGCTTTCCTTCATCTGAACAGAGACTTGGGTGCTCTTGACGTACAACTGCTCTAGGAATACAGGAGGTCACTGTTCTTTTAGTGGGTTGAAGGACTGATTTCTGTCGTACCCCTCCCCACCCCTGCATCGATCAGTTTCCATCATCTGAACACAGACTTGGGTGCTGGTGTCGGCCGGCTGGCAGGCATTCATGTCGGGTCCATTGCATAGGTCTGGATAAGGAACACAGGAAGAGAAGAAAAGGAAAGCGTACATTAAGAATTGGAATCTCCTGACAGTACAACTGCTCTAGGGAATAAAGGAGGTCAATGTTCTTTTTATAGTGGGTCGAAGGACCTATTTCAGCTCATCAACACATTTGCTGTGTTTCTAAGCTTAGAATATGTGGTTTAGGGGAAATGAATAACTTACTGGAGGGAATTTGTGACTGATTGAGGAAATTAAACACATGGGTTTACCAATCAAAGTTGGGGATTGTCTTTGATACAGAGGTAACAACATGTTGCACTGGTAACAAATCGTGTCTTCTGCACTCCATAAGTCCTGTGCTATGGCTGCTCTTAGTTTACACAGCAACGAACCAACAAAATCATAGATTTAATGAACTTGGGTGCTCTCTCCTTCGTCGAAATAACATTCTTCACACGAACACTCTGGGGTACAAATCCAACTTCCTGGACAGGTGGCTAGAATGTCAATGCCATTTATAGCGTGCCTAATTAATAGGTACCCTTGTGGACCAAGAGTCATGAGATAGAAGGAGAAGTGGATGCATGGTTTGTAGCTCACTAATACTAATGACTTATTTATGGCAAGCAAACCGCCTATTGCTTCAGTCAAACCTTTGCGTATTTGGCTTGCGTATTGCTGCATATTTATGGCAAGCCGTTTCAACATTTATTCCTATTTTTTATATCAAGAAATAGGAATAAATGTTAGAATGTTGAATAAATACGCAGCAATACGCAAGCCAAATACGCAAAGGTGTGACCAAGGCATATAGAAAAATGAACCTTAAAGAGTAACGTACCCTTCATTCTGGAAGAAATTTGTACAAAACTTGTCTGTAGGAACGTAAAAGTGTCATCTTATAGCCAAAGGAGCATACATAACTTGATAGCAACATTATACATGATTGTATATACAGGAACGGATGACTAAACTAGTTTTTAAGAAATCAGATGATACCCTCATCGTCATCAGCAGTAGCAGCATCACACCACAACTTCCATCATCATCATTAATTTGACATGTACCATGCATTTACATCTACGTCATCATCACCATCATAATCATCACTGTCATCACCTACCTCCTCTCCCTCCTTCCATCATCATCATAATATCATCCTCACACCACCTCCATCATCATCATCATCATCATCATCATCATCACCATCATCATCATCATCATCATCATCATCATCATCATCATCATCCTCATCATCATCATCATCATCACCATCATCATCATCATCATCATCATCATCATCATCATCATCATCATCATCATCATCATCATCATCATAATATCATCCTCACACCACCTCCATCATCATCATCATCATCCTCATCATCCTCATCATCATCATCATCATCATCATCATCATCATCATCATCACCATCACCACCATCAGTATTCTGAACACTAGACCTCCATCGATCATCACCATCACCATCACCATCATCATAACTGTCATCACCTACCTCCTCTTCCTCCTCCCACCACTATCATCATAACATCATCCCCTGTCATCATGATGACTGACAAGTATTTGTTAATAGACAATGTCCTCTTTAAAATACCAAGGATAGCTTTCCATCAACGACGCACTATCCTAGAGCATGACTTACTCCTCTGCAATGTATCACATGACGCATTGACATTATCAATATCACTATCATGTGTGAGATATCCTTAATTTGAAAGTGCTTTGCACTTGCAAGGCTAGCTAATGAAACCAAAGTGTCTCTAACAATGGAACAGAATGTCAAGATAAATCAATGTACATGCAGTACTTGAGAGTAAAAACTGAAAATACACATGTAGTACTCGACATCAATTATAGCACATGGCATGCGATAGGTTGGGGAGTGTCATACATAATTGGATTGCATTTTTTTAAAGGGCACATACCCACAACGCAAGGTACTCAATGTGCTCTGCTAGGCTACTGAATCCCTTTCTACTAGTACTCCACCTGGGTAGAGATTGGCAAATGTAGATTAGGGTCTTGCCAAAGGACATTAGTGTCCAGGCGGGACTTGAACCAGTACCCATGTGATCCACAGTCTGTTGGTGTACCCACTTGAGCACGACATTTCTACACGCGTGTGTAATTACAAGTAAATTGCACGGGACTGCAATATACCATGAAAAAATATCAATTTAAAAAACAAAAATAAAAACATCACCAGCAGCAAAGGCCTACATACAAGAACATGGATGTGAATAAAATGTTGCTCCTTTGTTGCTTTTCCATTCGTAGTATATGCTTAATAAGCTCAGGTCTTTCAATTTTTCTGTCTGAATTACACATTGATGTACGTGTACCATGAATCACCCCCCCCCCCCCTCCCTCCCCAGTCACACATGGTGTGTCACATAACACTCATCGCATAGTTTGGGACAGCATTTGAATGGTGATGAATGACTCTGATTGAGGCAATTTCCTTTTCAAATAAAGTTCATCAAACCCAATAAAGGTGGATTTTTAGACCTCACACTGCGGGCTCTTTATTATAAAAAAATTATATAAAAAAAATTGCCGGCATAACATATACTGGTATATATGTCAGTAACACAAAAAGCAAAGCATAGGTCCTGATTCAGTCCAGTCTGGGTAGGGGTGCATGTGGGTATTGACCATATGCAAGGGACAGTAGTCTTTATTTTAGATTCTGATATATACAGATAGTACATGAAAGTCATTAATTCCTTAACTGCAAAGATCTCAAACCATGCTATACCGTACATGTTCTTGCAAATATCAGTAAACCTAGGCCCCGTCTTAATATTAATCGTAACTGCACGTTTTGTGAATGATATCAATCACAACAATGTACACGAAAAGTGCAGAAGTGACGTAGTCGAGTGGTTTAAGTACTTGACTTGGAATTTGAAGGTTAAGGTTCGATCCCCGACACAGCACTAATGTCCTTTGGCAAGGCATTAATCTACATTTGCCACACTCGACCCAGGTGAGGTAAATGGGTACCTGGCAGGAATTATTTCCTTGAAATGCTAGAGCGCTGTAATGACAATGTAGAATTGTCTAGCTAGATGACGCTATATATATATGCCTATTATTGTAGAGGCCTTTAACGTTGCGGTTGATTGGAGGACTTGCGATTGATTTGGATCGATCGCAACTGTTCATTAGATGGGGCCCTGGCCTACCATAAGGAAATAATGGATTGGTAAATGAGGAAGTGTGTTAATTAAAATCTACTAATTATATCATCAATGCAAAAATACACTCCGCATTCTCCTTTCAAACTCGCAGGCTCACAGAGCACACTAGGTTAACCCTGACTTAGGTCACTGATTTAGGGGTTAGGGTTATAGGGTTGGGGTCAGGGGTAGGCCCTACAGCAAAACACATGCCGACCTCCCTCCCCCCCCCAAAAAAAAAAAAAAAGCACAGCTAGACCTCTCAACATTGGCTGTCAAGAATTCAGAGTCCTTCTCCCCAAAATATAGAATTTTTCATGAAAATTTAGAATATCATTACGGTATCTGTAGGAAATAATAGCTTGTATATCCTGGAAATTTGTGTCGCTGCAAAATGCATTGTGTGAGGTATTACATAAAATGAATACGGGCATAGCGCCTATTGAAAATGTGACTGTATTCAAAATGCACATACACATGTACAGGTGGTACGTACTTCACATGTTAAAAAGTAACACGCTTGATTGATGCGTGGCAATTGATGACTCAGGACTTCTTTGTTAAGACAATTTAGGTACATCAAAGTTGTGATTTGGCAGAAATTTAAAGGCAAAATCAGAATGGGGGAAAAGAGGTGAAAAGAGGGAATTTTTTAGCCACAATTGGGAGGGTTGGAAGGTTTGAAAGTACAGTATTATATAGTTACTTTCTATGACATTCTACATAAGTCTTATCCTTTGTGTATACACCTCTTTCACTATACAATGATAATGATGTTATCTTTTGATCCAAAGTGCTATGAATTACAGAATGAGCAATATTCACAGAAAGCTTTGAGTCAATTTCTAATTAAGGCAGTGCATTATGCTTTTCGTAACTAGAAATTTTTCTATCGTCATCATTGTAAAGTCTCTTAATCAGCAACATAGTATAACATTTATACTAGCTTTTACTGTTAAGACATTAAGAAAACTCTAAATGGTTTTATGGATTAACAAAATATGTATGAGTGGGAGAAAAGACTATTTGTCGCCAATTTGAGGACATACCGATATATCTAGACTGCTATGGGTTAAACAAATATTCTCCTATGTTAATGCAAGTTGCGGGTGTCTTAGATAGAAGGAGGCCAAGACGGCCTCTCTCCTCCCACATTCAATTATTACATCAGCATTATACCCTTCACCATTCTCTCATCAAAATGTCAAAAGTCACAGCCTCCTAGAAAAGGGCAACACGATTAAACAATGCTTTGCCACGAGACGTAATTGGAGATGAGGAGCTCGAGGCTCGTTACATTGTGTCTGACGAGGATTCTTACTCTCTACTATGTAAGAGATCTTTTTAATATTCACATGCCCCAAGGAATACTCTACATAATGAACAATTAAAGGCGAAATAACAACTTCATTTGTTGTTACCATGCCTGTGTAAATAAATGCAAGGTGTATTTGTACAGGTACGTCACAAAATAATCGTCATGACATTTCAAATGGGACATTTAATGATAATGATAATTCACGTACAAATATTGGGTTCTTGTATAGCGATCATGTCTGATCATGTCTGTCTCCTGGCACTCCATATGGTCCTCTAGCATTTCAAAGTATCTATTCCTGCCAGGTACCCATTTACATCACCTGGGTCAAGTGTGGCAAATGTTGATTAATGCCTAAAAGTGCCAAGAGACATTTGTGCCGCGGCGGGATCAAACCATGGACCATGCGATCCAGTCCAGAGCCGTTTCCACTATTAAAGCCTAAACTCTAACTGCTAATGACAAGTTTCATTTGATCGCATAAAATCAAACAGTTGTACTTCCCAGAATGCCTCTCCTACCAAGTCTTCTGACTGCCTTTGGAAAGTACCCCCTTAACTTTGACATATTGCATGTAGGTGGATAGAATTTAGCACTAAGGCAATTTCAGATCAGAACTGATGAAAAGCACTTTACTCAGCAATTACAAGGGTATCACTGACTGCCAAAAGATCTTTGACTTCAATTTCTTAGCATTCTCTTAATAGCTGATTTGGATGGATTCAGAATAGAATTAGATTTTGGCAAATTTGATCGAACAAATACTAGCTAGACCTTTGTCCGTTTGTTAATCCACCCACAAAACCTGTCATGAATGGAAGCAGAAGAGTGTTGGTGATTTAGTTGGAATCGTAGAAGAGTTTTGTCTGTTTTGCTCCAAGAAGTAGGCTAGTCTAGCAGACCAATCGTATGCCAACTGATCTTAAATTGAATCAAGGAGGGACTGATAAAATCAAATTAGGGTCAGTCAGAGCCAACTTTGGGAAGTTCAATTAATCATGAATATTGCTCTATGTTGCAAAACATCTTTTGATAAAACCTTTTTTTTGCCTGTGAAATGTTGCTTGCTTGGTACACATGTAGGTGCCTTGTCTGTTCCAGACTTTGGCGATCAAGGCCTTCCATCGACTTCTATCTCTGGTTCTTTGTAATGTGACGTTACTTCTGTTACCAGTCAGCCCAATGAACTTATTCATGTATGTGATGCACTGTCTCCCTCTGCTTCTCAACAAATTGGAGATGTCTTTTCCTTATGATCTTAATAAGAAGGGATCTATCAACACATGCCTTTATTACTGAGCACTTCTTTGTTTGTGAAATGTAGCGGTGGAAAAATGTACTACAATGCGAGTTCACATGTGAATGGTTCAAGTACATATACCCTGACTGATTCCTGAGGCTTTGTATTTTCCAGACGATTCAATGGTTCTACACATTAATATGACTGCTAAAAAGAAGATTTGTAAATCCTTTCAGGACAATCATTCCAAATTTTGTGGTTTAGCTCAATAACTTTTTATTTAGAGCCCTACAAAGTACAAAATATACCAGATGCATGAGTAGAAAGAGCTTGAAAATTCTGCACATATTTGAATCCATCCCTCTTGCATGACCATTGGGTTTGATGCCAGGAATATTAAAAAGGAATATGAAAGCTTATTAATCCAAAAATCCCTAAATTGGCAACACCTTTTAGGTTAAAAATTCCTATTTTCGATCAAAATTCTCAATTTGTGAAAATGTTTTGATCAAGTCAATAGATATTGCTTTTAAAAACATTTAATTTTATTGGAACAATAGCACAATGTACATTTGTTTTGTAGCTAAAAAAGAAAAATGTTGTTGTTGCCAATTTGCAGAACAACATGTGACTAATGTAGCCCTCAAAACATTTCTTGAAAGGGTTAAGAGGGCAAAAATGTGGATATGCTACACCTATTGTACAAGTACATTTAAAAATGTTACTTCTTGCTCACTAACCTAAGAATACTCTCACTTCAAGCAATTTGGAATATGAGAACGAAACAAGTTCATGAAGTCTTTTATGTTTGTAATAAAGAGGTCAATGTCATTACAGTGGACTACATTCCATTACAAATCAAATGGACTTGTGATGGTAAATATAACCAGTAGTCTACTCATCTAGACCTAGTTACTGCTCTATTTAGTGACTTGGGCTATCGAAACTGCCTGAACACTCAGCAGGTATTGTTATTGTTGGGTTTTTGTCATTTTATGATCATTGGTAAAATGAGCATCTTTCTTTTTGAAATTTATCAAGAAGTTAGCCATCATTATTCGAAGCAGAAAAAAACCTTGTTTACTGCTGCAGCAATTGTTACATATTCTCCTTCATATCAACCCCATCCTCTTTCTTCTCTATCCCTCTCTTCTTCTTTTTTCCACCTTCTTCTCTAGCTCCCTCCCTCCAGTCTCTCTCCATTCCTTTCCCTCTCACACTCACACCCCCCCCCCCCCCTCCAGGTCTCACTCCACTTTTCCCTTCAATAGCATCTCAACAGCAATCTCCATGTTGCAAGAAGCTTGGATTACAAGACTAGCAAGGAATTTCATTCCCCAGAAGTATTAATGTTAGCAACATGTCAACACATTGCTCAATGTTTGTGTGAAAGACTCCAGGGAGGCTGAAAGGTCTGACTATAGTTGGGTTCACACGAGAATCGGTACAAGGTTATCTTGTAGTTACGGACCCTGCGGACACGCTCATGGTTACAAGACTCAAAGTTTACTCACAGTTACATGTATCTACCATGAGCAATCTTGTAGTTAACACGATACGTGATAGCAAGACACTGCCAGGGACAATTAACTTTGAAGTTTCTAACAATGACCAACTGACAATGATGCAACTTCAAGCAGCATTGAAACAATGACTGTTGTCCAAGGTTGTAAACTATTAGCCAAGCAAGTAAGGTGGCGAATTAAAGCTCAGTGAACTATGTCTGCTAGGAATCTAACTTGAAGAAACAATCCTGCCCCCCCCCCCTCTCCTTGCTTAAATACCATGAGATTGCTCGAGGTTTACAAATTCAAGGAAACATTTAGTTTCTAAAACTATGAGGACGTTTGCAGTCCTTATGTACAAGAAATCCTCAAAGTTTCGATAAGAAAACGTATATAGCTAGGAGTTAAACTTTAGGTTCACAATCTGTTATATGAACCTAACTCATAGCTGAAGAAAAGATGCCTAGCAACAGCGTTGGCCCCCAGTTCTTTGCTTAGTCAATAAAAAGGAAATTTGAGTGTCACTCTACATATCACTTGAAAATGCAAACGTAACAATCTAAAACTGATAAGATCACTTTGCCATTGTACCATGAAACATATCTTAAGGGACCCTGGTGATGCCTTAATAAAGACGACTTGCGAGTATAATTTTCAGAGCTGACAATACTCGGTTTGCAATCGATACATGACGTCTATTTTAAGGGCATCTTAGTCTTAGTCATCCTGTCAAGAGATATCAGACAGAGAATCAAGTGGATCTATCTATAGAAGACAGCTCCACCTGCTACAGAACCTTCTTTGTGAAGTCAGTTTGAATCACAGGGCCCTGTTTCACAAAACTTGTCATCAGTGACAAATGACAGTTTTTGTTGTAAGCTACTGAAATCCTTCCTTCTGATTGGTTATCAGCAGATTTGTCATTGATTTTTTGTCATTTGTCATTGACAAAAGGCTTTGTGAAACGGGTCCCTGATCATAAGCATTGATCTATCATAGATGGAGGAGAGGGGGGGGGGGGGGGCAATGTTTCAAGTCTACCTCTAGTCTGCCCCCCCCCCTTCCATTGTGATATCATAGTACACAACAAAGTACAAATAAAGTGGTGAAATGCCAGACAGGTTGGTGAATGTTTAACACAGCATTTCAAATATACAGAGGACCAGAGAGACATGTACCAAAACTATCAATAGCATACAAACTTTCAGATGTACATACACATGTGTCAACTCAAAATATCTGTACTAGAAAAACAGTGGCTTTGGTCCGATTATTAAAAACAGGACATATATATTAAAATGGAAGTTATCAGAGTGAACAAATAGCAGTTTTGGAAGGGAAACCCTATCATCATTGGAATGGACAGTTTACAAGTGCTTCTTTATAGAAAAAATGAAATACTTACATGTGTAGGGTTATGAAGCAGCCAGCGGATGTCATGATATGCTTTGGTTCCTAGCTTTCTTGCACTGGCACATCCACTTGATGACCCTTGCATTCTTGGTGACAATGGACATAGACTGGTCTGGGAGCTGCTTGGTGAACTTCCTCAAGTTCATCACCCCTTCCTCGCTGACATTGCTCGTCTCTGACATGGCATAGGAGGTGTTGGAGTCATCGCTCTCTGATCCCCGGTGTCCTCGCGTCCTCCATACGTGCATTTCGTGGAAGACCTCTTCTTCGTCGTAGATGTGTGGTTTACCGACCACCTTCAGGATGCTGTCATCCAGACCCATCCTGTCAAAGAACTGATCAAGTTCATGGGCAGATGTGGCATTACTTGGTTCTGATTTGGAACGACGCATGCTGGACGATTCCATAGAGGCATCCCCATCCCCTGAAGATTCGTAGCTCTCAAGACGTTGTTCAATGGCTCGACCAGTCTTTAGTTTACTGTTCGGTACTTGTATGTCTAGTTGGGCTTTTGTCTGCCAGAAGGACTTCCGCGTGTATTCCTCGGGTATAACATCTTCATCACTGCTGAAGTTCTTGTTACGGAATGGTCTTGCGTTGTAGGGTTTTAAATGTTTAACCCTTCCTCTGGTCGCTCCTAACCCACAGTCATCGGACCTTGATGATGTGTCATATTCTCCTTTCATTCTTGCATTACCCGAAGAGGATGTGCCACTTCTGTGCTTCACTTCAGAATGACCCTCATGAGGTACACCTTTGTAATCATGGGTTGGAGATGTGTCCAGGTCTGTACTCACAGAAGCTTTCCTGAAGTCCACAAGCTTGGAAGTCTTTGGGCAATGTCTGCTGGCACCACCTCGATTGTCATCTGAAGATGGTTCCTTATCCAAGGACTTTTCAAGAGATGGCTCTGGTCCTGGATCATCATACAATTCAACTAACATCTCAACCTCTTCAGTTTTGGTCAACTCTTTGCCACCTTCTGCCTTGAGCGCTGCATCTCCACAGGAGTCTTCAATGATGTTTGGAATCTTGTCCTTTTGCACAGCTCTGGTGCCTGATAGTGAAGATGAATTATGCTTTGACCTGGGTGAAGCTAATCGAATGGAATTGGAACTGTCGATGATGATGGTCTCTTCCACTAAATCTTTCTTCAAGTCCTTATTGTATTCCACTTCATCATAATTCTGATTCAAAGGTGTAATTGAAACCTTCCTAATCAAGGGTTTCTTTTCTGACGTCTTTTCTGTTGCCTCTGCTAATGCACTGTCATCAAAACTCACTTTCTTTTTCAGTTTCCCTGATTCACAAGAACCTTTGGTTGGAGAGCTCCCCGGACTGTCATACGCCTTGCTCTTCTTCAAGAACTGCTCAAGTTTCTTACTTAAATCCTGCTTTTGTTTCTCATGGGGCATCTGGAAAGGTGCGTGGCTCAAAGTTACTTGTCCTTCAGACTTGCCCTTTGTTGGTTTGTCATCACTCATTGATGTAGCCAGGGAGGTATTATCAGACAGAGATGTCTTCAACTTTCGCTTCCTTTTCAAGTCATCCCAGCTGAAAGACTTGGAGTGTACAGGTAGCATTAATTTAACATTCTTGCTCTCACTATCATTACTTTTTTCACTCTTTACTCCCAATTCTCCAGAAGAATTCAAGGGTGTGTCTTCATCATTTTTTTCTTTTAAACCATTACATTTTAATTCGCCAACTCTTTCCTTGCACTCTAACCCCAACTGAGCTGCTAGCTTTCTCTGTGTAGGACTTTGGTAATTCATCTTTTTGCTATTTTTAGCGAAAAGTCCTGACTGTTCATCTGGCAAAATCTGTTCGGTGTTCCCTTCAGAATCTTGCTGCTCCTCATTGAGTTGCTCTTGTTCTCTTGGGATAACCTGCGGGTCCTTTTCCCGTAAGAGCATACCTTTTAACCTCTTCATGTGGCTACTTAATGAAGAGAACATCGAGGCCTGTTTAGGATCATCCTTCCCTTCTTCCCTGTCTTCGGCCACAATGGCTACATTATCAGGTTTGGTGGATAAGGAAGGCTGGGCAGGGTTAATCACATGTTGGACAATCTCAAAGGATTCTTCTGGGTCACTGAAGTGCGCTGGATTCTCAAAGACATTGTCCTTTGGATCAACAGCAGTCTCCTGAATCGGCTCCGGATTAGGATCAGTTACTTCTTCATACAGATGGTATGACAACCTTGTGCGTTTGACGATTATGGACAAATCTGGTTTCTTTGGAAGTGCAGGTTTACCAGAACTTGATGACTTGACCAATAACCTTGATGTTTCTGCCTTACTCTTAAGACCAACGTCTGCAGACTTGGACTTCCGCAATGGTTTCTTTGAGAATGGTTTTGTGTCTTCATCAAAAATAAGTCTGGGATGTAAGACTGGAGTTTCCACATCTTTGTCACTTGATGAAGAACAATGGCTAGCATCTGATGTTGACGATTGCATTTTGGGAGTTCTAGTTGCACGTAGATTACTTGGCTTATGAGGTAAGGAATAAATATCTGATGGATCAGGGACTATTGCAGACCTTCCTTTTGGTGATGCTTTTCCTTCAATCCCCCTGGGCGGTTTAACAGGCGAATGATTTAAAGGAGTTGTGGTGCATACTTGGCGTTCAACTGGATATTTCCCTTTTGATAATGAATGATTACTACTGCCACCAACGGATGGCATTTGTTCATCAGAAGTTGCGTTGGATAATTTCTTTGATATGGTCTTCACTAAAGATTGCTTTTTGGAGAATGCCGGTGATTGGAAAGATCTGATCCTAGCTTTGACAATGTTTGAATCATCACTCTCTGTGCTGGTGAGAAGGTCCAAGTCGTTCAAGTCCTTACTTCGAGGTCTACTTCCCTCTGCATCCTTGGCCAGCAGATCAGCCAGGGAGGGGGTCGCTCGACTTGTTGGTGGACATGACTTTCCTCTAACCCTTGCACCACACTTCCTCAAGTTTCTCCTTGGAGTTTCATCATGGGATGAAGATGAAGTACTTGTTTGCTGATGAAGAACATTGAGGACATTTTGAACATGAGATCCTGTCGGGGATTTTGGATTCACAACCTTGCTTCTTGGCTTTGATACGTTGGGAGTTCTCACACGCTCCCTGCCCCTGACTGCTGGAGGTCTTGCGTTGCGAGAGAAGTAATCCCCCTTACGTGGTAAGACTGGGCTTGTTTCACTTGATTCACTGGACATAAAATTTAAATTTCTCTTTGGTCTCTGTCTCCCCGAGTGATCCAGTGATCTGGTAGGAGTTTCATCAACTGTCCTTTCATTTGAAGTCTCACTTCCAATCTTAGAGACCATATCTTTCACAGAAGGTCGAGGGGAGGCCTGGGACCTCGCTTCTGATCTGGACCTTCTACTTTGGAAACTGGATTCTGCATCATCTGTGGTTCCACTAGTTTCTCCTCCATTTCTACTTATTTTAGGAGTTCCTGCTTCTTTCAAATTCTTATCATGCTCAGGGGAATCCAGCGATGCCTTCTCAAATGCTATTGTTTTATTACTATTCCCATTTACATCATTACCACGGTCTTTCATGCGCTTCTTCGATCTCCGATTGTCCCGGTTCTTGTCGCGTCCTCTCCGGCCCTCCCGCTTCTCAAACTCATCAATCCTCTCCTGTCTAATGACTTTGTCCTCATGAGCCAACGGTGATACTGTCCTATCTCCAGTCTGTTTGAGATTACTTCTATTACTATCAAGTCGACTGTTGGTGCTGTGATTGTTGCTGTTGTCGTTCAGCTGCTTGTGAGGGGCAGCAGGGTCCCACTTCAAGAACTGGGAGCGGGACTCAGCCAGTTGTTCAGCTGCGGTCTTCCCATGACGTCTCTGGTTCCGTAGTGCCTGCTGCCTGAAGAACTCTGGACCTTTGTTCAGGATTCCCAGAGGGGTGCTCTTGGCATTGTGGGCTTGTTTCATTTCTGCAATGGGCATGGTGTCCTCTTGGTGTCCTCTTAGATTAGACCTTGATTTATTCTGCACAGGATGATCAAAACAGAAATAAACACTGATTAGTATCAAATATGTAAAAGCTGACAACGGTTTGTGTACATGCACACTAAAGGCTCATTTAGATTACGAAGCAGTACCGTGGTCGGTTTTCACAATGTAAATGAATGTCAAATGCGCACAAAACAGGTCCAACGGGTAGTTGCCGAGCCGTGTGTTATCTAAAAGAAATGCGAAGTGTATCTTTTACAACTATGTCATCATAAACACAGAAAAAAAATCAAAGCGAAAGTGATATACATGTAGTTGTACAAAAGACATCAGTATTCTTTACCAGTTAATAATCAAGGCAGCTGCCTATACAAATGTAATTTGAATCTTGATGGAAGAAGCAAAATTTAAAGCACAAATAAATACTGATGAGAAACTATAAAAAACTTTGAACATGAAACCGAATCCTCTTCAGTGCTTTCCAATAAATCAACAAATGAAGGTTCCCACTCTACAATCCTATGGATAACATTTTATTTGAATTTAACAGCAATAAAAAAAACTCTAATAGAGTACTAATGGAATGCTTTACACAATAGATTCTTCCTGGTACGTACTTGTACAAACCAGATTGTAAAGAATTAACTTTTTTAAGTGATGCTTCAGATGAAAAATACACAGTCCATCATCCGCACTTGACACGAGAGATAATGAAACTGAAATATCAATTAGCATACCACATGTACAACAAATTGAGAGCCGAGATTAAACAAATTGCGTGAGTAATCTGTGCAGACAAAGCTCCAGTCTACTAAAAGCATACCAATCAAAAAGAAGGTTGAATTCTCGTACAATGTACAGATACAAAATAACTTGAGAACTTGCTGATTCTTTTTAAGTCAGTATGGAATATCATAGAAATTATGTCTCTTGAAAAGGATTGCTTTTCAAATGCTCTCATATAAAAAAAAAAAATATGACAATAAGTTTGGACAAAACATTTGTATTTTCAGTATGAGTTGGATTTTTCAGGCCTATACATGTACACCTGTATGTGTATGGGGCCCATGAATACTGGCCCCTACTGGCACATAGAGCCCCCCCCCCCCCTCTAATACTAGAACGTCAAGTGTGTATGGTAAACGATGGATGTACCCCTTACAAAGATAATAAGAACCCTTCACAAGAGACAATTTATTGGCGTTGTTAGTTTGACAAATTGTGCTACATGTAAGTACTGTATAATTAGACCTGCACAGTGGCGTAACCCAAGTCTATCCATTAATACAAGGGGGCACTGAAACGATCGGGGGCACCAGTCTTACGAAACTCCTGATTAGTGGGAGGGTGCGGAAGGTGGTGTAGGCATCTTCCTTTCTTGTCCTTTTCCTCTTCTCTCTTTTCCTTTTTCTCGCTTTTTCTTTCTCTTATTTTGTTTTCACCATTCAAGTGGGGAGCGGGGGGAATAGATCAGGAATAGATCAGGGAAAAAAAATATTTAAACAATATCTGGGGCTACTTTTCAAGCTTGCTGGCATGAAAATAACACTATTCAATTTGTTTTGCATTGAACTTTGGGGGGGGGGGGGAGGGTCTTTTATGACATTCTTTTTGGCATTTCGGGGGCAAATTGCCTTGAGCACCGTTTATTTTTTGCTGTGGATTAGATGCCCCCAAGGCCCCTGTACCTAGTTACTAGCTACACCATGGGGCCTACAGTTTCATCAGAGGTGAATAACATGTATACCTTGAGAGGCATGACTAAATGTCACACACCTACAAAGTCCTACATACATTAGACGCTATCTCAAAATAGTCTCTCTTGAAAGGGAGTGCTCATTAAACCATTCAATGCTAAACAGGGGTTTCGATAGCCATGAAGCAGGGCTGGGCTTAACTCTCTTGATCCAGTTTCTATGTATAAGGTCAAACAATAATTGTTTAGGGGAATAATGAATCATGTGACTTGGGTGCTGCATTTCACACGATGCAACGAACAGACTTTGAAAGTAAACATGTTTGAAAAAAAAGCATTCATCTATTGTAGCTCCATATGGGTCATGGGTATGCATAGCCCACACAAGAATAAATGTGAATCAAAAATTGTGTTTGGGTTATTAAAGAATATCCACCTTTTTTCCTTCGAGAAACAGAAATGGGTACCTTCAATGAGCAGTCTATTCTTGAGGAAGACATCTTTTGCCTTATTCAGTAATGGGAGAAATGCAGGGGGTATATTCACAAAGATCCTATTAAGTCAAACTTAACTCTAAGTTGGACTTAATCATTATGGAGAGCTATTTGTAGCCTTCAAATAAAATATATTCAAAAGCAAAAATACAAGTATTTTAGACTTTTCATAAATTCCACATCAAGAACATGAAATCTCCTTGATAATAGAAAATATGAATGATTTGAATCAACATTTTTTCCTTTTTGAAATAACTTTTACGAAGTATTTTCAAGGATGCCAACGGCTTTCCATAATTGTTAAGTCCCACTTAGGGATATAAGTTCAGCTTACATATATGTAGGATCTTTGTGAAACACCCCCCAGAAATTTCACAGATAGGACTAGTCATAGGACATACTGTACATGACATATTCATAATTCCTGCAAAGTTCTACAGAATTTGATGCTGGCTGCAAAAGGGACATAGTATCTTTAATATTTGTCAGTCAATGTGTCATGATTATTTTGGTGTTTAATTTCTCTGTGTGCATGCACCACATGACTCATCTTCAAAAGCGAATGTGAAATACAACATTATTGAGGAAATCCTAAATACACTTGCACATTCAATCCCATCCTTCCTAATCCCTCACACATTTTTTAAGCTCTCATTTCTGGTGTATTTCCTGTGTAGTAGGGGTATAGAGTGGTGAAGTGTGACGTCATCAAAAACACTATTTTTAGAATTTCTCAATTTGAACTTCTTTTTCCGAAAGAGCATCAAAAAATAATGTCCATATCAATTGTAAAGTATTGGCTGAGATATGACCATCTGAATAAATAGATTTCCTATAGGAACTCAGTGTTATTTTGCTCTGGTTCATAACATTACGAACCAGAGCAATATAACACTGAGTTCCTAACTTCCTAGGAAATCTTTTTATATATACTGTAGATGGTCATATCTCAGCCAATACTTGGTTTTTTCGTCATCTGGACATTATTTTTGATGCTCTTTCGGAAAGTGAAGTAAAAATTGAGAAATTATAAAAATATATGTTTATGATGTGTTTATGATGGCCTCCTCTTTCCTTCTATTCAAAAAGCAGAACGCTTAACATGTTTGTTTTTTGTTGGCCATATACAATTATCAAGCTTTCACAAGATATGCAAGTGGTTTTAGGTTGCTGTGAATGAATGGAATCACAACTAACATGGCACTAAAATTTTGCAATTCACAAAACTCCTCGCCGCAAAAATGACCAATGTTTATGAGTTGCGAGTTTCATATCACACAAGTTTCTGGTTTTACGATATGCGCCATTACATACAGTGTAGTTGTCAGCAACCTTCTGGACAGTGTGACCATATAGTTGGCTTTTATTTCATAAATACAAGAAGGCTTAAATTATATTTAAGGGGAGTGCTTTCCATAATGACACCTGCACGCTTGATTCGATTTCCTTATTGAATGAAGCAAAGATGGAAGCCAACTGTTAAACACTCAGTGATGAATTGTAATCGTAAAATGAATCCTGTCTAACTCAATTAAACCCTATCCCCCTTATGTGTTTAATGACTGGACACAAGCTAGGTTCACAGTTCACACGACAGTGTACTAATTTAAAGTTTACATTGTGGTTTTACACCGAAGGTATCTTGTACATTATAAAGTTTATAACCATAGTAAGGGATCATGTGGACAATTAAACCCATGGTTATGAAACTTAAAGTTTAATTAAAGTTATTTAAACCGCTAGTAATCTTAAGGTTAGTGCGATCTGTGGAGATGCAATTAACTTTGAAGTGATGCCAGCTATTAGTAATACACGGCTTGTCATTTAAATTTTTGAATACTTTTTGTTTCGATCCCGTACGAGCCCTTGTCATTGTTTAACAGTAGATTGTCGTTCGTAATTTGAAGATTTCGCCATTTTAATGATAAAGTTGCTTCTGCAAGGTTCTGGAATCATCAAAATGAAAAGGAATTTGGCCCAGTCTTGGTAAAGTTACAAGCACTATACACAGAAATGGGACTACAAAAAAAGTGTGGCATAAAAATCTGTCCCAATTTGTATGCTGTTACTGTACATGCCATATTTAGAATATTAAGGCATTTGAAGAGCCATGCTTTTCAGGGAACATATTTCATCTGATGCTCTTCCAAACTTGCATAATAACAATAATAAGTAATGCTCACAAATTATTTTTCACCTCTTCCCAGAACTCAACCTTCTCTTTTAAAGTTAAAAACTTGGACAGTCCAATCCCGTGTGAACCTACATGTAGCTATGGACTCTATAATCTGAGATGACCAGAGGGAAACCCAAGAGAACGATCATCCACGTCCCACGAGAAAAGATGTTACAATCAGGCTGTCACAAAGCGATCCTGTCGTTGCAGAGTGATTAACAGCTCTGTAAAGTAGGCTTGGCGCAGCGTTCAGGAAAAATGATGCTTCGTAATGATACAGTTTTGGAATTGTGAAGCTAAAGAGAGAGCATGACAGTGACACCAACGGAATAAAACTTAAGTCTGGTGCTATAAACAGTATGTAGGCCTTCAAATTTTGGTCCTCTAAAATTTTGAAATTTATCCACAAGTTCCATGAAGAAAACACAAAGGCAGGCCCTGCTGGAGCTATTACATATCATCAAATAACAAAAATTTACACTGTATTAAAAGTACATGTACATGATTTAACACCCTTTTGGCTCAAGAAAAATGACATACATGTACGGTTGAAATATTCAGATGTTATCCCCTTAAACTTTTAACTCTCTTTAAAGAGATTGTTAATTACAATGGCTTACAATTGATTACAAGGATGTGGGGAGAACATTTTGCATTATACATTTAACTCGTCAGCAGAGTACTATTAGAAGTCTGAAATCCTCTCCTCATTTTCTGAATTCAGAATATTTTTTATTTTCATGTCATGTACAGTGTACAAGTACAGGTATACGTGCCATCGGTCATGTAAATAATTAATAGCAGGTTTTTGTATAGCATTAGCACTCACGTTGACTCGACAATCCTGACACTGCACCGTTAGTACCCCGGCTTTAGCATGGCTGTCATTAAGGCGCTCTAGCATTTTAAGGAATCAATTCGTGCCAAGTGAACCACCTCAACTTGGTCGAGTGTGTCAAATGTAGATTAATGTCTTGCCAAAGGACGTTAGTGATGTGACAGGGATTCAAAACCAATAACCAATGGTTCACAATCACATTCCAGCGATTAATCCACTAGACTACAATATATTTGAATGGGAAATGGGAATACAAAAATCATCTGTACAGTACATGTATGTACTATACAGTAGAGAATTTTGAAATCAAATTTCTTCCGTGTTTCAATCACTTGAATAGATAACTCACAGCTCATATAGAAACTACCGGTTAGAGCTACTTGAGAAAGTTTCATTTTCCATAATGACTCCATATTAACAATCGACTTTGTAATACCCTTGATAACTAATTGATTGTTCTAAGACCATGTGACCTCTGGTATGTTATGAAACTAAGAATGAATTTCTTCATTGATTGATTCAACTGTCAAAAAGGTCCTCATAATTGCCTTCATCATTATGTATCACCTACAAAAATTTGTACCGCCCAATTATGTTTTCAACACGTGTTTAAAACATACATGTAAAGAAAACCTTCAACAGATTAAATTTTGTACCCCCCCCCCCCCCCCCCCCCCCCCACCTAACATGCTGTTTAACAAGCTCCTTTGGGACACATGGTTTGTATGCCTGCCTGCACTAAATATTAGACGCATCAGCATCATTGATTCAATATATACCGGTAGATGACAAAAAGTGATACGATTTCCCCCTTGCAAATAACAAGGAAATATAATATAACAAATTCCTGCCATTTCCATCTACACCTGTATATGGAAAAAGGAAAACATATGAAGAGATAAAATTTCATTTCAAACCAAATTCTAAAATGAAAATTGATTTGCTGTCTGAATTGTAAAATTGGAACTCCCTTATGATCAAAAAATGTAAAAGAGAACCTCCAAATCAAAGACCCCCAAACCAGCGATTATTGACAGGCTATTTAAACACTGATTATTTGGCATTAGAAGCTGATTACTGTAGCCAAATGATCTGAAATACTGGTACTTTGACAGGAGTGTATAGTAGTACAACTATAAGTACAGTTTACAACTGTATTATTCATACCCCTTCTAAATTTGGTGTCATCTATGTTTTTTGGTAACTGAAGAAGAAAAGGAAAAGGGGCATTTGTTGAATACTTTTTGGTGTATAAAGCTATTTCTAATTCTCAAGAAACATAAAATCAGGACAAATCCTTTTGTCACACACTCAAAAAAGTTGGAAAACTTATGAAGAGTATGGATAATTTAGATACTATCTGATTGTGTACATGTACAGGTGTACATACATGTACAGTGTACATAAAAAACAGCTAGGAACGAATTCAAAATGGCCTACTCAGATTTATAAAAAAATGTATTTATTCTATTTCCACATTAGACTAAATAAGATTAATTCCTAGTTTCTTGTCCCCTCCTCCTTTTTTTCTGCCCACCTCAATTTGTTGTTGTTTATGTTTGATATTCTGTTCTGAAAATGATCAATAAGGAACTGACTAGACAGGACATCTTTGTAAATACAAATCAATACATAGACTTCCATTTGACTTTGTTTTGAGCCTTCACAATTTACAAATGAGTTAAAAGTGAAATAAACAAGACAAATTCTCATGCTTATGAAGTCTACCAAATGCAGATATTTTTAGCATTTCAACCCTCTCTTGTCAAGTTAAAGCAATAGCAATTCTTATAAACAAGAAAAATATCAAACATTGAATAAAATGGATAACTCAATCCCCCCCCCCTCCCACCCCGGCCCCGCCACTCCCTCCTAAAATTTGAAAATTCACACAAGAGACTGGGAATCATGGCCTTTAAGGTTTCAGCATGTTGCTAAAAGTAGCCATCTACGAAAATTGAGACCCCCCTTTGTGCCCTTGGCCTTTTAAGGCTGTACTTTCCAACCGAAACTGTTTTTAGAAACAACTGTGAGACTGTTCAATCTGCATTGTCCTTCCTTTGTTCTGGCACCTCCAGCTTAAAGGAAAGTCCACAGAGTTTGGAAGGGTAGAACTTTGTAACAGTGGCTGATATTGACGAAACACCCACTTTAGAACTCAAAATAAGCTTTAAAGGGAAAGTCCACAGAGTTTGGAAGGGTAGAACTTTGCAACGACGGCTGATGTGTTGACGAAACACCCACTTTAGAATTCAAAATAAGCTTAAAGGGAAAGTCCACAGAGTTTGGAAGGGTAGAACTTTGTTACAGTGGCTGATGTGTCTTGACGAAACACCCACTTTAGAACTCAAAATAAGCTTTAAAGGGAAAGTCCACAGAGTTTGGAAGGGTAGAACTTTGTTACAGTGGCTGATGTGTCTTGACGAAACACCCACTTTAGAACTCAAAATAAGCTTTAAAGGGAAAGTCCACAGAGTTTGGAAGGGTAGAACTTTGCGAAGGCAGCTGATGTGTCTTGATGAAACACCCACTTTAGAACTCAAAATTAAAGCTACATGTTTCATTTAAAGAGAGCTCACAAAATGTTTGGGTACAGTTTGACACTTCTTTACAGAAAAAAAAACATGAACAAATTTGGCATTAAAACAAACTATTAAAAACAAATATCATAAATTATACAAAAAAGACCACCTCTCGGCCTGGATATTGTTATTTCTAATATAATATTCTCAAGGGGTTGGGGGGGGGGGGGGGGTACACCTGCCTGCTCCCTCCTGGGTTAACTAATGAAATTCCAGAACAGAGCACAATAATATAGTATACGGTACCTTATTTTATAAACGGAGAGAATTGTACAGTATGTAGTCTTGGTCTAAATGTGACTGAATGTTTCCTTGACAGATTTTACTTCCTCATGAATTGATGCTTGATAAATAGCAGTATAGCACGCATGATCTATTTTATGGGCTGTCTCCTAAAAATAAATCATCACAAATTGTCTAGTCATCTGTTATACTTAGTGCTGAGATATGTACATTGTAAGTCATACTGATACACATGTACACGTACACTGCACATGACTATTACTGGAACTTATTTGACTTATAAATAGTGACACGTAAAATACTTAAAAATAATAATAATAATACTAAAAAAAATTTATATAGTGCATATTCTGCATCTATGCACTTTCAGAAAAAGAAAAAACATTGCACTTACCGGTCAGAGTTAATGATATCCCATTACATTTTTCCAGGCCATGCTCAGTCAGTCTGAGAAGCGTTCCCCGAGTTACAGGCCTCCCGTACGTCTCCGCTCTAGCGGTCAGCGCGCACCGTCCATCCCCCTGTCCAGCCAGTCTGGAACTGACCGACCCACCAACCAAGGACAATGTGTAATCCTTCCTGGCAATTAAAGAACTGTAGACGTGCTCACCGACCCTCTCTGAAGCTGCGATGAGTCAGGATCATCAATGTTTACATGTGATGGCTATCATCCCGATGAGGCGAAAGAAAAACTCGAGGACATCCAAGCAACCCAGATAGTCCTTCCCTCATGTGCGCCAACTCATCTTCGACTATCTGTGGGGGGGGGGGGGGGAATCAAGAAGAAGCGACACGAATGTTATTCCTGGCGACACACACACGCAGAATGGATCAGACGGTATATCTGTAACAGATCTTGGGGAATTAAAGACAGAGGGGGCTCGAAACGATCAAGTTCCTGTTACCTACGCTTGACAGATCGGTGTGGACGTCTTTCATTGCCTTCTTACTCACTCATCAAACCTGAAATTTCTCATTGATCGCCATGGCGATGGAATTGTCAATTGATGTGTGATAGACGCAGTGAATGATTGACAAGATTTAGACCAATCAGTTGGTCTTTTCTTTACATGAATAGGGTTTCTGCTTACATGTATAACTTCCTTGAAGAAGCTACTTCAAAAGAAGGAGGTTAAACTTGAGTAAAAGAAACTAATAATTTGCAAGCTTTCCCCTTCTTTTTAATTATTCTGTACAGGAATACCAAGTGTCTTCTCCTGAAAAGTATTTCTCTTAAAATGTTCCGACATCCGAAATTTGACTATAAATATGCCTGTCCTCATCAGCTCGAGACTGCCAAATAACCCACTATTTTAACAGCTAAAATTATCCGGCTAATTTGCGTCTTCATCAGCCCGCAGTTGCAATTAGCGGGAAATAGCGGGCTCTTTGGCAATCTCGAGCTGATGAAGACATGCCTATGGTTGCTATCACACACCCCTTTCTTTTTGTATTGCTGTTTACTGTATGTGATTTATTTTCAGCAATTTGAAAAGCATTATTTATAAACACACAATCAGTCTTACTACATGTACATTTACATGGTTTCTGTTACATTGCATTCCACAAAAAGTGTGAAAATCTGAAAATAGAAGTAAAACATGTACAAGTACATGACCATGTACATACAGTGTATACCACTAAATAAAAATAAAGATTTAAAAGAGTAAGATTGTCAGAATCATGTGAAAAATGCTCAAAGGCAGGTCCATAAAAAAAACTAAGAATAGCTGTTACCGGTATTGTGACATAATTGTTGAATTTATCCGTTACAATTACAACATTTACATACATGTAACACATACCTGTACAACAAGCGCCCCAAATCATGAAATTTACACATTGCTGGCTCACAAGGTGCGACACTATTTGTAAAAAAATTACTGATAAACTAGAGTTACAAAAGATCTAGTTCAACACATTTTCTGCTAAGCTAAAGCACCTCTACTTCTACTTTTGTATGCTAAATCAGTGAGCTCACCACATAGTCAGGTGGGATGGGACGTGCTTAATAAAATAAATTACTCTAAATTTCCTAAATATTTTAAACCATCAGATATCTTGGTATCAAAAGATTGGCTGGGCCTGAGCCCGGCGATCTCCTAGCTCCTCTCCCAAATTGAAGCCTGACTAACAAATCTCTCTAGGGCGATTTCAAACGCGTCAGAGTTGCTCTTCTCTGATCGCCGCGAAGCAAGGCTGGCATCGCAGATCACATGACCTAATCTAGTCATTAAACCCAATGTTTAAGGAGGAAATGACGAGTACTGGTCATGCGATCGCACTGCGAAAACAATGTTAGTAGACCGGGATACTATTCCAATGCTACACCCTTTTTAGACAAATGCTGTTCTTGACCACCTGAATGCTTGCTTGAGGCTTCCCCTACATAGCAACATGTAATGAATGTAGACTGGATTCCAAGTATTGTAGTTTATTCATTAATAACAAGTGAATGGAATCACTTGTCACTATACTGTACATGTAGGTCCCCAGGAAAGATACATCCATAAATTTGAATAATATGGAGGAAACCAGTCTATTTGGAAAGGTTACTCATGAACATTGTACAATGTATTCTACAAGTACACCTGTATGCACCTGTACATGCACCCAACTACACATGCACCATTATTTTTCACATACATGTACAGTATACCGGAACTCCACCTTTAACCCCGGCCCCCCCACTCAGTGTTATTTAGGGTACGCATATGCGTGTTCCAACCGACCCCCCCCTTTTCAGCAAAAGTCCGGTGTGTAAAGCCAATACGGCTCGACCTTTTTCTTTTGTATACGAGCCTTTTTCCGCACCCCCCCCCTTTTCAGCAAAAGTCCGGTGTGTAAAGTCAATACGGCTCGACCTTTTTCTTTTGTTACGAAAAGGACATTTTGGCAACACGCATGCGGTCATTTTGAAACCTGAGTGGGGGGGGCCGGGCTTTAACCTAGATGTTTTAAAAACATAAATATGTACATCGGTGAGATGAAATATTCAAACTCAAGATAGAGTCTGGAAATCCAGACTAAGCCAGACCGCGAAGACTTAAATCCAGCTTTAAGACTTGACGCATTGCATTCCCCGTATGCGTTCTATATGTCACTCGTGTAGACATAGCATTTGCAACCTTACGAAAAACATGAAATCTGAGCTTAACTTTCAAGGTTTCGATGTTTATGTCGGGTATTTTAAGGTACAGACTCATGACACGACATAAATGTCCACCTTTTATGCAACCTAATAAAGGCACGAAACTGCTCAAATTATATTCCATCATGCATTCAAGTTACTTATTAAACCAGGAAATGGCAAAAACTTTAGGATCCCAGATTGGGGTATAATAAATACAAGTACATGTACATTGTATATGTACGTGCTTACCAATCACCTTTCGCTATCTAGACTTGATCAGGTGACCAAAAATTTAAAGCCACATACTGTACAGGTAATAGTTGATGTCCATGTGTATTGCATCACAATTCGCTGATACCAGATTTGATTGAATGACCAATTAATGTGTCTATGCGTGCGAAGGTCTCTAAGGGCGCGTTCATGCTTGATTTTGACGGCCAGAATCAGGCATCTGTTACGCGTTTAGTTTAAAACACGATTGCATTCATGCTCACTTTTGTAGAATCACCGAAAAACGGCGATCACGATCGCCGATCATAAACTCACAAAAAGATGCGTTTACAAATAGTTTAAATGGGGTCAACGCACTGACCTCTAGTGGGTCTACGTAGCATGCGCACACAGGTTTGCGAATCCAGCTGAAGGCCACCCAAGGAGAATTGCCTGGAGAAGTGAGCATGAACACTGCACCGTGGAACTGCGATTACGATGAGCATTACAAATCGCTCATTCTGCCTTCAAAATCAAGCATGAACGCGCCCTAAAGCAGCGAACCTGTGGTCCCACCAGAAAATTCTCAAAACTTGCCCTTACATGTTTATCTCGAGGGTGAGGGAAATTTGACATGATGAGAAAATTTGATACCCGGTAGTCTAGGGCACAGAGCATTACACAAGACCTGTCTGTCATAAAAGTGAAGTCCACTCTTAGTGACTGACAACACTTGTTATGGGTAAACACCCGAATGGTTTACATTTTCCATGAAAACCCACTATTATGAGCCTTTAAAAAAAAGACAAAATCAGAATCTGTAGATAAGTTTTTAGTTGAATTATATTATGTGAAATTTCGGGATTTCAAGAGTTTTACATGACAATTTTCATCTCATTTCAAGTGGCCACATAATGTAGGCTGACCATGTCAAGTGTATTTAGTTAATATTGTCTAGATCATAAGATTAATTGGACTGAATGAATAAGCAAGGTAAATTCAAGAGGTGCTGGTACATTGAACATCTCTACTACATGAGCATGTACATACATGTAGCCCTGAGAAAATCGATAAAGACAACCTCTTTTTTTTCTAGAAAATTGATGAGTATTCATGACTCATGAGTAGACCTTCTTTCTGCCTAGCAGTTTTCAAAACATCTAAACTAAATCTACACTTATATGCTAATAGTGTGTACAATATATTTCTCTGAAGTAAAGGTCTCCATGTACGTTGTACACTGTAGATGGTTTTACATCTGTGTATATTTTATACAAAAGCCCCAAAAGGCCTACTTTTGTCATTTTCTTATCAATCATCTTTTATTATTACTGGTAACTGCACATGTCATTCAAAAATTCTTTAACAAAGGAAGAACAAACAAACAAGTTCCCTGTTGTATTTCACCATCAAATATTCCAAATAATAAAATTCTAAAAATATGCCTTCAGATCCTTTGTTTGGCCGTACGTGGAAGAGATTTTATGATTGACCCATGGGCATTTGACATCCATAGCAGTACTATACTGGTATTTCAAGAAATGTGTCCCAAACAAGCGTGGCTTTGCTATGTGTGATTTCATTAAGGTTATATTAGAGGTATTTGAGCGCAAAACGAGATGAGTCATCGGTGAGTTTATCAGGCAGGTATTTGATGAAGATAACCCATCGAGGTGAAAACAACCCTGATAGACGATGTGTGTTCAGCCGTCTGCCTATTTGTGGAATCCACCGGCAATGTTCATATCTTCAATCAATTACGCCGTGTTCACATGTGCTTCATGTGACGTTCATTGCCACAAAGAATGCTTGGCTCGGCTGTACTAATACTGTTTTCACACTGGCAATATTTTGCTGAACCCCGTACTATAGGTGGGGTTAAGGGGGGGGGTCTTAACCCCACCTATAGTACGGGGTTAAGCCTATTCCACTTTCTGTTCAGACTGGTTTTTACCAAAGTGGGCTAAAGTTGGCTAACCCCACCTATAGTACGGGGTTAACTAACCCTGCAAAATAGCAGGGCTAACTCCGCAATTGTGGTGCTAACTCCTGCTAACCCCGCAATTGCGGTGCTAAGCAAATGAATGAGAACAGAAACGAAAAATAGTCCGGTACTACGCAATGGAGCGTATCGCAGCTGGCTAGATGCGAAGTATGTCCTATCATAACATACACGATATCCGGGGTTAACGAAATGCAGTGAGAACAGCGGGAATTTTCTTATTCCGGAATAGGCGCTAGTACGTGACTAAAAACAGCGAGTGTGAAAAGCCAAAAAAATAGTCCGGGGTTAAGGATAGTACGGGGCTAAGCAAAGTACGGGGTTAAGCAAAACCAGTGTGAAAAGAGTATTGGTCCTAGAGATGTACTTGGGACTTTTCAAGGAATTTTGTAAACAAGGCATTACATTGTA